TGTGTGTGTGTGTGTGTGTGTGTGTGTGTGTGTGTGTGTGTGTGTGTGTGTGTGCATGTGCGTGTGTGTTTTAAAGTAAAAACAGATTAATAATGTCAACTAAATGAACATATTACACATAAAATAATTGATTGCAGAGGTATTCACCCCCATCGGTATTTAGTAGATGCACCTTTGGCCACAATTACTGTTGGATCGGTGGACACTGCAATTTTACCTCATTCCTCTTTGCAAAAGTGCTTAATCTCAGCCACAAATTTCCAATTAGATTAGGGTCTGGGCTCTGACTGGGCCAGTCATGAAAGCATTTCTGTATGGTTTTGGCTCTATGCTTTGGGTCACTGTCTTACTAGTAAACAAATCTTCTCCCTCCCAAGTTGCAGTTCTCTTACAGACTGCATCAGGTTGTCTTCCAGGATTTCCCTATACTTTGCTGCATTGATTTTACCCTCTGCCTTTACAAACCCCCCCAGGGCCTGCTGCTGAGAAACATCCAAATCACGATGCTGCTACCAGCATGCTTCATGGAGGGAATGATGTGTTTGTGACAATGTGCAGTTTTTGTTGTCTGACAAACACAGTGACTAGTATGATGGCCAAAAAGGTCAATTTAGGTCTCAGCAGACCAAAGAATCTTTCAGTTGACTTCAGAATGTCCCACATACCCTCTGGTGAACTACAATTTACATTTAATATAAACTTCTTTGGACATTGTTTTTTTCTTTGCCACTCTCCCATAAAGCTTTGACTTGTGAAGAACAGGCAACATTTGAAGTTTTTGTAACTCCTTCAGATGATTCATAGGTGTCTTGGTAGCCTCCCTCACTGATATTTGTCTTCCATGATCACTCAGTTTTTGAGGACAGCCTGCTCTGGGCAGATTTACACGTGCACCATATTCCTTCCATTTCTTTCACTGTTAATCTGCAAGGTATGCAGTAACTTGTAAATTGTCTTGACTTATCTCCACTTGTGCTTTTCAAAACCCTTTTCACAGAGCTGCATGGAGTCTTCTTTTATCTTCATGGAGTTGCTATAGCCAGAGGTGCTGATTCACCAGTGACTGGACCTTCCAGATACAGGTGTCTTTATACTCCAATCACTTAAGATACATTCACTGGACGCAGATGATCTCTAATTTCCCTAATTATGTGACTTTTAGCACCAGTTTGCTGCACCGGTGTTGCATTAGGTGAGTCACCTTAAATGGGGTGAATACTTATGCAATCACTTATTTTACATTTAATTTTTTGTTTTTTGTTTTTTTTAAGTTCACCCCCTTTGGAAATGAAGAGCATTCAGACATTTGATGCAGAGTTCCAAAATACACATCAATACCTTTCCTGGAGGCTTCAAAGCTGTCATAGATGTTTATCCTTTGGATGTCGTAGGTCAGCGTGGTGTTTGGCAGTAGGGTTCTGTTCCTGTTGATTGTGTTCAAAGCAAATTTAAAGGCAAGTTCCTCAGCACCAGATGGGCCGCTTTCAATGGACTCAAATATCCCCCCTGTCAAAGAAGGAGACATGTGATTAGTAAGTGTCAGGGGTTAAACTGAAAACATGCAATCGTGATAATTACATGGAGCTCTCTGTCACACCAATAATTAAAGACAAAAGAAGTACCCCCATCAGACTTGTGTTTTCAGAAGAAAAATGGCTTTTGATCTAAAACATTTTAGAATCAGTTTGAAAGAGAAGAAAACTATACTTTTAAAAGAACGTATATATACATATATGTATGTATGTAAGGATTAAACAACGAGGAGCATGCAGTGGAGTCTAAAACACCACGACTCGAAGGGAAAATTCGTAGTTTGTAGTTTAACTTTGAAATATAGCTTTTGTGACACCAGTCCTGGAACTTTTCTGACACACCTCGTACATTGCTTCGGATAAAAGTGTCTGTCAAATGAAATTGTAGAACTGTAAAAATTGTAGTAATCAAGAGAGTTGTGATGAAAGGAGGTTGCTGGCTCAATGAGATTTTTACACATTGGAAGGTTTTCTAGAAATTGATATCCTCATTTTCCTTTTCCGAGTGTTTCACAATGTACTGATTAAACCGTGAAATGTTTACTAAGTATATAGCTTAAGATCAATGTTAGCAGCACAAGCTATCCATCCATCCATTATCTATACACCGCTTCATCCTCA